AGAAATCCACTAAGGCTCGCGTCGATGAAAGAGAAAATATTCCGTTTAATAGTCTCTTTCTCTCCACTTGAGCTTCGAATGGAAGGCTTTGATGTCGGCCTTGTTTACATTGTGGGTCACGAATGAACTTTGTTTTCTTTAAAAATTCACCATCTATTAAGAGTTCTCTAATAACTGATTGTTTTCTCACGCCAAAAGACGAATTAGTTTTTTTGGATGAACGCGTCCTCTATTTTTTCTTGATTTCGCGCTATTTTTTCGTCCTTAACGACATCTTTTATAAAGTTGTAGATCACTCTCCGGAATCACTGACTCGTAGTGAGATACTTGTGGCAGGCGAGGTGTCATTGAGCAATCATGACAGCCCACTGGAAGACAACGACTGCCTTAATATGCATTTATGGAGTCTTTAAGGAATTCCGGCCCGCTACTCCATTCCTCACCCCATATCTTGCTTCGCATTTCAAAAATCTAACTTTAGACCAGATTTATGGAGAAATTTTCCCCTTTTGGACGTATTCTTATATGATCTTTTTGGTGAGAATTGTGTCTTGCTACTTATAACTGCTCTAGAAAAATTGGCTTTTTAGGTGCCCATCTTCATTCTCACTGATATTTTTCGGTATAAACCTATTATTGTCTTGGAAGGTGCATGCTTATCCTTGACATGGGGACTTCTTGTATGGGGTCAGGGAGTTCTTCAAATGCAGATTATGCAGATTAGCTTCGGTAGGTCCCATAATGTATGAGAAGATGTTTTGGCATTAAACTAGCCCAGTGGCACTATTCTCCTGTTTTTGCTTTGTTTTTTTTTTTCGAATACCTGTTGACGTAACGAATATGGTGTGATTGCGTGCCGGTCACGATAGATTTAAGGACTAGCATCAGCATCGGAGATAGCCTATTTTTCCTATATCTATGCGGTTGTGGATGAAAAGGAGTACAGGCGGTGCACATCGTATATTCGAACCGCAGCGCTCATAGGAAAGTTGTTAGCATATGGAATAGCTCAAATCCTTGTAACTACTGGAACAGGATCTTATCTACTTTTGAATCAGGTTGGAGCTGGCCAATCGTTATTGTTTGTGAGTTTTTAGGTTAATCTCTTTTTTTTGCTAGATCTCTCTAGGAGCCGTTTTTATCGTTTTCTTTATCGCTCTTGCGCTTCCACGGGTACCTGCGCAGGCCCGACAAGAAGTCCACAGCGAACTTTTGGCAGAACGAGAAAGTAGGCGTGGTCAAGACAATTCCACGTGAGTTTCAAATAATGAAATGTTCTCTGCAAATTTTATTTTTTAAATCTTTTTAGAAGATTTGAAGTCGAACGTCAAAAACTCGATCAAGGCGTCCGCCATTATTTGATAACCACATTAAAAAGCTTTCAAATTTTCAAAGATAATTTTGTTGTGCTCAAATGGTCCATTTGGTGGTCTCTGACGAGTTGCGGGATATTCCAGGTGTGCTGGTCGTTCGTTTACGTCTTGGCCTGTAGATGGGAAAACCCTCGCTTTCAGG